GGGATATTCCCCACTCAGGGATCGAACCCGCATCTCTTACATCTCCTGCATTGGCAGGTGGGTGCTTTACCACTAGTGCCACCTGGGAAGCCCATTACCACCTGCCCACAGCCAAGGATATAAAGGATATGGGAGCAGAGAGTATTCTTTCTGCATCCACCCAAGGCATTCTGCTCCACTTAAATATCTGCAACACTAGTTAACAATAACAAATAGGAAAGCAGCGATTTTGGGGAAGGGGAAGAAAGGGGTATCTGCAATGCAAAAATCTAACAAACAAAAAACTTCAAAAACCTCACTACATTCTATCAGTGTAGAGGAAGTTTCTTCTGATTTAGTCAAAGTATTAAACATGCTTGATACCTAACAGCCACCACAGTGGCCTGTTGCATGGTTGATGTACATTATCTAATTGATTTTACACTGTGAAGTAGGTTCTAACACAGGCCCAGCTTTACAGATGAGGAACCAAAACCCAGGCAGGTTAAGCCGTATTTGCAGATTCATGCAGCCAGTGACAGAGACGGGTCTGGCAGGCAAGTCCTTGACTAAAAAGCCATGAGCTTCATGGACTTTGGGGTCCCAGGGGGAACTGAGGTGCCTTTGAAAGGAGAGAAAAGATCCATACCTGCTAATGGACTGCAGCATCTGGCAGCGTTTGCATGGCATCTACAGCCAGACCCTGATTGGGAGCGGACACCCAAGGTCAGCCACCCAAAGCTTTCCCTCCTAAGGACGCTTTTGTCGTTGAAACTGGGGTTTAAAGTAGTTCTTGCCAGTCCTCCTGACTAATACACACATCAGCCCTGGTTGTCAGACAGCCTAAAACAAAATGATGCTGATTCTATGGGTGCTGGGGCCAGGACTCTCTTCCTCAGGGTGTCTCTGTCTTCTTCCTGCGAGACACAGGCAACACCGACAGCAAAGGCCACCAGTGTAAACTCGGCAGGAACTGCTAGAGCGCTCTGGGGGAGCCTACCCCACACCACTCCCTGGGCCTAAATTCCGAGGTCCTTGTCGCTTTTCAGTGATTAAAAACGATGACCAGGGATTCCCTGGTGGCTCAGTGTAAGGAATCCCTGTGCCAGTGCAGGGGGCACAGTTTCGATTCCTGGTCCAGGATGATTCCACATGCTTCGGAGCAACTAAGCCTGTGCACCACAACTACTGAGCCACACCCGAGAGCCTGGGAGCTGCAACGACTGAAGGCATCCTAAAGCCTGTGTTTCACCACTGCAGTGAGGGGCCAGAGCACAGCAACTAGAGAGCAGTCCCCACTCTGCGATTAGAGAAAGCACTCGAGCAACAACAAAGACCCAGGACAGCCAAAAAAACCCAAAACTGAAGATCATAATAGATAACCACCAAGGACCTACCGCACAGCACAGGCAACTGTACTTAAATGTTTTGTGATAACCTATAAGGGAAAAGAATCTGAAAACACATATATATATGTACAACTGAATCGCTTTGCTGTACACTTGAAACTACCACAACATTGTAAACCAGCTATACTTCAATCAAAACAAAACGAAACCAAAAAAAATATTGCCAAGATTGATATCAAAACAACAAAAATGAAGATCCTGATCTCCTCGACCTATCTACCTCACAGAGACCAGAGGAGGTACTGTCAGGCACTCTGTGGCCAGGTGGCGGGAGTGGGCCTGGTTACCCAAGATCTGACCAGGTGGAGGTCTGGGGACAAAGACAGGACATGGGGACAGGCTCTCTGTCCTCCAGCCACCCCTGGGGGGCAAAGAGCTTCAGCCAATTCCACCCCACCCACCCCCCCGCATTAAGAACTCTCCACCCAGTCTAACTATGCCATAAATACATCAGACTCCTAAACATGCCTCATGCATTCCTAATTTTGCTAATGCCATTCCCTTCAATTTACTTTTCCCTCTCCGCAGAATCCTGGTTGCTCTCCCAGGCTCAGATCATATCCCTTCCACTTCCACAGACTGCCTTGACATCTCCCCAGCCTTGTGAGTCCCAGAAATCCCAGTGCATTTAAAATCTTATTACATCCCCCGCTGGGCCTTTAGGTACTCAGCACTGCACAGCAGTCCTACAACATTTCATGTGTCCATCCACCCAACAAACATTTATTAAGCACGTGCCATATTGTTCTGTCACTTCCCTTGTCCATGCTCTCTCCATCTCCCAAGGTGACTCCTTTCCACCTTCTCAGGCTCTCCCCCAAGCCCCTCCAAACCCCGCTCTCAGCAACCTCGCCCAGTCTCAAGGTATTAGGTAGTCACTAAGATTCCCCTGCCCTAAACTCTCCCCTATGCTCCAGCTGCCAGCATCTAATACCATCCCCACTTGGGTGTCTAACAGATGACCTACTGTAGCCAGATCAGAACCTTCTAGCCTGTGCCTCCCCGTTTTCCCCGCCTCCATAAATGATTCACCCATCTGTGCAAGCCACAAACTTCAGAGTCATCTTTGTCTCTTTTTTCCCCTGCCCATCCTCCCTTGTCCATCCAGCTACAGACTCAACTGGCTCTACCTTCAACAACTATGGTCACTATCCCCTCTGGGCTACAAGCCTCCTGTAGTTACTGTGGTCTCTAGTAGGGCCAAGGAATCACCTCCAGTAGGCACTCCCTAGCTGCCACTCCTGTGTATGTTCTCTACACAGCAGCCTGAGCCATTGTTTTAAAACATAAGATCATGACATTTGTAGCTCAAAACCCTCCAAAGGCTGGGGAATATCACCCTTTGGATTTCATTCTAAATTCTCAGCCCTGCCCAACTTAAACAGTTACCACTCACCTCCAACCTCTCTGGCTTCCTTGTAAATTTCTCAAATGCACCTTTGCACTTGCTGACCCTCCCAGCTAAAAAACCCTCCCCTCACTTCACTGACTTAACCTCTCCCTCCCAGCAAAACAACACCCCTCCCCAGCACTTCACCCTCCAACTCCTTCACAGCATTTATCATGACCTAACATTATTTGAAATATTTATTTTGTTCATTTATTGCCTCTTTCCTCATCAGATCAGCTGCACCACTAAAGCAAGGGTCTGCCTGTCTGGCTCACGGGGGTATTCTCAGTGTTAGATGATGCAGGCACACAGCAAGGATTCAATGAATATTTGCTGAATGACTGAATGAATGGGTGCTGACTAGTCATTTTCTTGTTGCCTATGTCTGACCTCCTCTAACCCAAGGCTGAGCAGCCTCTAACCAGGGGCAGCATTTTGTGCGTGGAAGTGGCAACCCACTCCAATACTCTTGCCTGGAAAATCCCACGGACTTAGAAGCCTGGTAGACTATAGTGTGTGGGATCACAAAGAGTCAGACACGACTGAGCGACTTCACTTTCATTTTCCTGTACCTGCTAGCCCAGGAGCCAGTCACAAGGGCAGGTTCAGGGCTGGGGAAGACCTGCTTGTACCATCAATGGGAAGTGCTGCCTGGCTTGCGATGAAGAGAAGGACCCGAAGCCAGTCTAGGTTTTGCATCATTGATTTGTGATGGGTGCCAAGGGGTGAGGCATAAAAGTGCAGTTCTTGGGGACACCCAGGCTGGTAACCAAGGGATTCTTGAGGCCAGAGAGAAAGATGGATTGGCAGGTGGAGCAGGACAGTCTCGGCCAATCCTCAAGCTTGGGAAGCTCAGGAAACAAGCCACTAACCCACAGGGGAGCTGATGCCAGTGGCCTCAGGGCACCAGCCAATGTCCCCATCAGCTCTCTGCTCTTGGATGGATCTTCAAGGGGAATAACAGGGAGTACAGGAGAACCCCCTCCTGCCTAGCCGCCCCCCCCCAATCTCAGCCACTGCCATACAGAGGCTCAGGGGAGTGGCCATTGTCGCAGAGTTCTCTCAGACCTGGAGGCAGAGGCAGAACTGGCCCCACATACCTCACAGGGAGCCATTTTGCCTTCCTGACATGATTTCTGGCCAGAAGAGCTCCACAGGCGCTTATCCAGGACTCCCAGCCACTTCCTGCTGCAGGAGACCAGCGAGGGTGTATGGGGGACTGGGGGCGCTAGCGCCCTGGGTCTGTCTGCCCAGCATGCTGTGCCTTTGCTCTGTGCCCCACTGGCACAGAAACCGTGAAGGCACTGGCATAGGTCCCTTATGAGGTGCCAGCCTCATCCACCTAAACTAACGAGCGGGCGTCCACGCATGGCTCCTGTGCCTACCAGGAAGATGAACTACCGGAAGTGCCATCCTGACCCGGAAGTGCCATCCTGACCTGCGGCCCCAAGCCCAGACACGGTTCCCATCAGCTGGGGGGCGGGGGCAAAGAGAGACTGGGATGCGGAGGAGGAGGAGGAGGACAGCCCTCTGGGACTGGAAGTTTGAAACCCCTTCTCCTGTTCCTCTAAAACACGAACTGGCGGGCTGGACTTCTTATATAACACTTCTTTAGTGACTGAAGCACTTGTCACAACCACCTTGGGGACCTAGCTTCAATGCCCCCACTTTCAGGAAGTCAAGGTATTTACTCAGATAGCACATGGCTGAGCAGCGGCAGTAAAACCAGAGTCCCCATTTCCACTCTTAGACCAGTGAGCCCTCCTGCACCCACGACGGAGACTGAGGAGGAGAAAAATAATCAGCCATGCAAAAAAAAAAAAAATCCTTTCTTTCCAAAGATTATGAAATCAAAGAGCATTTTGTTGTTTCTTGGACGTTCTTCTTACTACTCTGAGGCCACACAATTCAACAGGCTTCTCTTTATTGTTGTTAAAGTACTTGTTCTAGCTCCTGCCTCCTTTACCAACTTTCACACCGACCGAGAACGCAAGCATTTACCTGGGTTCCATCCTTGGACGGCGAATGGATGGTGCAGGCTTCCGGCCTCCTCCTCCCTGGGGTTTGACTCCAAGGCTCCGGCAAAATCTCGAAATCACCCGGGATCGGCGCGGCCACTGAGGGAAGCAGCCTGGCTCTGAACAAGCCCAGGCAAGCCCAGGCAGAGCCCGCTTCGCGGTCCTTCCTCCTGCGCGAACCACCCGGCCCCGGGGCGTGAGACGCGTCTCTCCGGCCCCAGATCCATGGAGTCGTCTGGCTCCAGACGGACCGAGCCGGCCCTCTCCTCCACCTGAGAAGGAAAAGGGCTGCAGGTAGGCCGCGGAGGGGCGGGTGGGGGCGGCGCCAGCCCGCAGGGAACGGGGCGGGCGCTGCAACCACCCGGGTCACGTCGGGGTGGGGTGTGCTCTAGGACAGAAAAGTCGGGTTCCGCGGCGGGGCGCGCTGCCGGGGCACCAAGCGCGCTCCGCGGTGGAGCCGGTCCCCCCTAGGCACCGGGTCCCGGCCCCTCCACCGCTGCCGCTCGCGGGGACTGGTGCGTCCTCTGCGACAGTGCGGACAGCGGGTCGCCCCTCATCTCCTCCTGGGGTGCGCTCCCGGAGCCGACGACCGGACTCCACGGCCATCGCGACTCTTCCGGGATCTTCTTGCCTCTCTGCGGCGGGACCAAAGCCCAGGCGGGCCGAGGGGGCCTGTAAGAAAGCAAACGAAACCATGGGGCCCGCTCGCCGCAATGCCCAACCCGCGGGCCTCAACCCCAGAAAGAGGCAAGGAGAAACCGCGTCCCAAGCGCAGATGAGGGAGGTGTCCAGGGTCTGGACCTGTCGTGTCCAGAACATAGCCAGCCGGGAGAGCTGGGAGGATCTAACAGTCCCGATTCGAGGAGACAGGGAAGGACTTCTAGCGCCAGAATCAGGCACCCGGCTAGGGCCACCGCCCGCCGGTGCCCCGCCCCCACTCACCGCGCCCCCAAGTTCCGGCGCTGCTTGCAGCCGAGGTGCCTCCGCTCGCGCGTCCAGGGGCGCAGAGGCTGGTGGCGGTCTTCGCCGAGGTGCGGCGCAGGAGAGTTGGGCGCGCCGGGCGGGGACCGCGCGGGGCAGGGCTCAGCTGAGCCGAGGGGCCGGACGCAGCCCCCAGCATCTGCCTTACTGGTCCCCGGAGGCACGGATGCGGACGCGGTGAGGCGCCGGGCAGCTCGCGAGGTGCGCGCCTCCCTTTCCTCGCGGTTTCTACACTGCCCTGCGCATGCCGCGGTTGATGGGGACACATGTGCAGCGGTGGCCCTGAAGACGCCCTTCTCTGTTGTGGGGAGGGGACTCCCCAGCCACCACCCCACCCCCAACCACCATAGATCCCACCCAATCCGACCAGGTTTGGACCTGGGACCCTTGGAAGACAAATTGCCCTGCGGCCCGCCTGGCCTGGTTTGAAGGAAAGAGGAGTTTCCCAGGTCTCCCCCTGCAAGAGTTCTGCGCTCAGGGCTGTTCTGAAATCACTTTCTCCGAGGCAAACCCTCTTAGCAAACTCACAGTTAGGGTACTCTGCCTGTGATGCACCGAGACCCTGCAAGCACTTGTTTCCTCCACAGGGACACAACTGAAGGAGTAGGGTCTTCTTGGCCCCTTGAGACTCGTGCATCTTGTACTGGGAGAAGGTGGTCCTTGGCGGGAAGTGGCTGCCCCCCAAGCATGTCATCACTTGTGAGCAAGTGAAGCCAGCTCTGAGCTGACCTCGTTTGACAGATGACAGTCCCCGGCTCACAGGGATGAATCTGCATGAAGCCCATGTTCCCAGCCTTTTCCAGGGATTCTAGAATAGTCCTAGAGAAGGAAAGAGTCGGTCAAAAGGCCCAGATGCACTGGATAGCTACCTTTCCCCACAGGGGCAGTGGGGGAGAGGACCATTTACCACCCACCCTTCCCCCAGGGTGGCCATCACTGTGGGGTAGCTTGAGTGGGAAAGGCCTTTGCAGATCCTCAAAGATTCAGGAGGATTTAATGAGGCCAAGGCTTCCCTGGTGGCTGAAACGGTAGAGTCTGCCTGCCATGCAGCAGACCCAAGTTTGATCCCTGGGTGGGGAAGATCCCCTGGAAAAGAGAATGGCAACCCACTCCAGTATCCTTGCCTGGAGAATCCCATGGCCAGAGGAGCATGGTAGGCTGTATATTCAATGGGGTCACAAAGACTGAGCGAGTAATACTTTCTTTTCAATGAGGTCAGTGGCTCTGGAGGTGGCACAGGCGACAGAAGGGAAAAGCTGGTTCTAATCCTGATTCTGTGTGTGACCTCAGGGAATAATAACAATAAAGCTAACTCACACTGAGTGCTCAGTGTGCCGGAAAGAAAGTGAAGTCACTTAGTCTTGTCCGACTCTTTGTGACCCCATGGACTGCAGCCTGCCAGGCTCCTCCGTCTATGGGATTTTCCAGGCAAGAATACTGGAATGGGTCGTCATTTCCTTCTCCAGGGGATGGCTTTCCTGGTGGCTTAGATGGTAGTCTGCCTGCAGTGCGGGAGACACAGTGTGCCAGGCATCAACCTCAATCCACCCTAGATAATAATCTCTTTCAATTCTCAAATCAGTCCTGTGAGATACATACTAGTACTACCCCATATCCAAAAAAAGCTGAGGACCAGAGAGGTCAAACTTGGCCACCCTCATGATGGGGAGAATGAAGTGGAACCAGGACCCATATTTATTCCTTTCTGACCCCCAAGCCACACTCCTTAAGCAACTGCATCTGGCCTCATTTTGGCAAATTGCTTAGCCTCTCCACGCCTTGGTGTTCTCGTGTGTACAGACAGCATCGGGCTCACGGTATGGACTCAATATATGTTGGTGGAATGAATGAATGATCCCCGCATCCCTCAAGGTGGTTGTAAAGACTGCAGTAAATGGAGTTGCTGCACACAGCAGGCACTTCCGTGCCTTCATCAGCTTACCTAAGGAACCTCTGTGGAGCCCTGGGCCCAAGGAAGCTATAGTTCCCTGCTCCACAACTATGGCCATTTGGGAGCATTTCCAGCTGAGACCTCCGCCCTCACTGGTCCTTTCTTCTCCCTTTCCTTTCAGAGCCACCAAAGTGCCTTGACCTGGGCGGCTGACAGATGAAGGAGTACATTTGGGAGACTCCAGATTCCGGTAACTAGAGGACCTGAAATAAGATTTATATCCACTTTTCCATTCAGAAAGGCCAAACCACATTCAGGCCTCTTTTTTTTTTTTTTTCTTAATCATGTTTGTGTAAGTGAGGACTGGTTTATAAAGGCGTCTCCATATGTCAGTCTGTCTCACCGAGGGTGTTCAGCCCATCTGTATTTCCCCTAGAATTCATCCCACAGCCAGATGTACACACACCCCTAACTAGCAAGCAAGGGCCCTATAGAGAAAGGGGGCTACAGAAATAGCATGCAGAAGCCTCAATTTATGCCCCCAGCCCAGACTCAGCTTAAAACAGTGCCCTCGGGAGGCATTCATGTTTTAAATTTAACCATAGAAGCCCAAGGAGTCCTACCTTCTGAATCAGTCTATGAGATTGATCTTGTCCAAAAATGTGAATTAAAAAAAAAAGAAGGCTAGGGACTTCCCTGGTGGTCCAGTGGCTAAGACTCCATGCTGCCAGTGCAGGGGACCCGAGTTCAATCGCTGGTCAGGGAACTAGATCCCACATGCTGAAACCAAAGATCATGCATGCCGCAACTAAGAACCGACAAAGCCAAATAAATAAATATTTTTACAAATTAAAAAAGGATAGTAATATCCTAGGATTACATCATACTAATGGTCACACAATTTTGTGAATCTAGTCTCCCTCCATATCTAAGGTGGGGGGGGTCAGTTCCAGGGCCCTCTTAAGATCCTCAAATTTGAAGATGCTTATGGTAAAGAACCCGCCTGTCAGTGCAGGAGACCTAAGAGACTCAGGTTCAGACCCTGGGTTGGGAAGATTTCCTGGGGAAGGAAATCCCAACCCACTCCAGTATTCTTGCTAAGGCAATCCCATGGACAGAGGAGCCTGGCAGGCTACAGTCCCTAGGGCCACAAAGAGTCAGACATGACTGAAGTGACTTAGCACACACGAAAGTTCCTTACATAAAATAAGCTAGTATTATATTTTAATATAACCTATGCACAGTCTCCTGTATACTTTAAATCGTCTCTAGATCACTCATAACACCTGATACTATATAAACACAGTGTAAGTAAGTATAGCATTGTGGTAATCACTCAGTCGTGTCTGACTCTTGGCGACCCCATGGACTGCAGCCCGCTAGGCTCCTCTGTTCATGGAGTTCTCCAGGCAAGAGTACTGGAGTGGGTAGACATTTAAGTTTAATGTAAATGATATGTAAATAGTTGCTGGCCACTGGCAAATTCAAATTTTGCTTTTTGGAACTTTCTGGAAATAGTTTCTTTTGATTTTTTTCAGTCAACTGTCAGTCGAATTCATACAACAGATATGGATACAGAGGGGTGACTGTATACTGGAGCCAACAGATATGGATACAGAACCCATGGATACAGAGGGCTGACTGTATACTGGAGCCCACCAAACTGTACTTTTAAGTGGTGAAATTTATGGTATGTAAGTTATATCTCAGTAGAGGGAAAAAAGGGGGACACCATTCTTCTTAGTGGCCCAAAATAAATGGCATGAACCCAGCAGGTTTCTGAAAGCCCCAGCACTTTTTTTTTTTTTTGGCCCCAGCACTCTTGATAAATACTAACTCCCCTGACTCAGAAGATTCCTTGGTGGTTCAGTGGTTAAGACTTTGTGTTCCACTGCAGGGGCTGTGGGTTCGATACCTGGTTGGGGAACTGTGATCCCATATGCCACAGGAAACAATAAAAATAAATAAATAAATTGGGCCAAGATAAAAAAAAAATCTAATCCTGGTGTAGGTAACACAAGGAAGTCAGGCATTCTGTGGATGTTCTGCCTGGACCCTGGCAGGTACTCACAAGTCCAAAGTAGCCTGTCTTTTATGCCCTCGAAGACAGGACTGTGGTGACATAGGGTCTGAGACTGGACCCTGCAAGAGAAAGGGGGCTTGGTGGTGGGGAGGACTTGCCTATTGCAACCCTGCATCTGTGAGTGACAGATGTTGCTGCCATATTGGTAAACAAGGATGCTGCAATCATCAAGCCATCACATTACAGCCACCTGGACCATAAGCCCTGAGGGAACTCAGGATAGAGGCAGGAAGCACCCCCTCCCCAGCTAGAAGTCAACCGCTGCAGCCACCACCAAGGAGCACCCTGAGGAGACTCGGGATGAGAAAACACGGGATTCTGGCCCCAGAGAGCTGACGGCATACCAAGGAATGACGTCAGCAAGCCCAGACTTTTGCATCTTTCCCATGCATAGCAAAGCACTAAATTCCTTAACTTGAGATGGCTGGTGTTCTTTAACAGTAAGGTGCCTCAGTAGTAAAGAATCCGCCTGCCAATGCATGAGACGAAGATTTGATCCTTGGGTTGGGAAGATCCTTGGAGGAAGGCATGGCAACCTACTCCAGTATTCTTGTCTGGGGAATTCCACTGACAGAGGAGCCTGGTGGGCTATAGCCCATGGAGTCGCAAAAGAGTTGGACACGACTGAACAACTCAACAACAACAATAGCAGCAATATTTTGATGTCTGACTTCTTGGTCTTTGTTGCAGAAACTCCTGTGTATCCTAGCTCCTCGCTTGCCTCTTTGGAGCAGTCCTGCAGGACTATCTGAGAGGTTATGTTCTGGGCCTAAGTTCTTAGGGTGTCCGCCAAATAAAACATAACTCTCAGCTCTGACGTTGTGCATTTTTTTTTCAGTTGATATATCAGAGAGCCATTTGGTGGGCCCATGATGGATGGGCCAGTGTGGGGACCTATATGTAGCCTGGGGGGGTGCTCCAGGGAGCCTGCCTAGCCCTTGCAAAGCCCTTGTGTCAGCAAGTACACTCTTCAAAACCCCACTTCTGAATAAGGAAGCGCAACTTGACTTGTTGGGTTGGTGAAGAAATCGCCACTGAATTAAAAATAGCAAATAAATGTAAGAAGTCAAAATGCTGTACAAAGGGGAGAATTACTTTTAAGTGTTTACTCATGGCTATGCTGACTGGGCATTTTAAATAAACATAGCTTTACGTTTCTCCAGCTCCTAAAGTTGCCCTGTGGCTTGTGCATCAAATTCACCTTTTTTTCTAATTGAGGACAGAGAGAGGTCTAATTATTCTTATGAGATAGCCCTATGGAGTGGTTGATCAACTGATAGATCAAACACTTTGTTTCTTTTTTATTTTTATTTTTTGGCTGCGCTGCATGGCTTGCAGGATCTTAGTTTCCCCAAACAGGGATCGAACCTGGGCCTCCTGCAGTGGGAGCACAGAGTCCTAACCACTGGAAAGTGAAAGCAAAAATCACTCAGTTGTGTCTGACTCTTTGCAACTCCATGGACTATATAGTCCATGGAATTCTCCAGGCCAGAATATTGGAATGGGTAGCCTTTCCCTTCTCCAGGGGATCTTCTCAACCCAGGGGTTGAACCCAGGTCTCCTGCATTGCGGCAGATTCTTTACCAGCTGAGCTACAAGGGAAGCCCAAGAATACTGGAGTGGGTAGCCTATCCCTTCTCCAGTGGACCTTCCCAACCCAGGAATTGAACCAGGGTCTCCTGCATCGCAGGTAGATTCTTTACCAACTAAGTTATCAGGGAAGCCCCAACCTCACCACTGGACCACCATGGAATTCCCATAAGCATTTTATTTCTGATGTAGATAACTGCCTTATTCTATTGATTAATTAGAAAGGAAAACAAAAAGAGAAAAAGAAAAGTCAACCCACGCCAGAAGGAAAAGTGGCTTGTCCTATAGAAGAGTGTCATCCTTGGAGGGTTGGTTGAACACAGTTCCATGCCTGGGCTTTGAGGTTATTGAGTGGGGAATGTTATAGAAATGCCAAGGACATAGGGCTTCCCTGGAGGTCCAGGGGTTAAGATTCTGTACTTCCAATTTAAAGGGCGTGGGTTTGATCCCTGATTGGGGAACTAAGATCCCACATGCTGCGAAGCATGGCCAAAAAAAAAGAAAAAAATGCCAAGGACAGGTTAGGGCCCCCAGGAAATGGGACAGATGTTAAAGAGATACAGTAATTGGTGGAATGGGCCACTCACCTAAAATAAGTCTACCCACAAAGGAATACTGAGGTCAACGAGAAAGCCAGAAAGCCTCCCACATCCTAGAATATATAGACATCCCAATATAGGACCATGGGGATGATGCTTATGAATGATGCCTCAGGCCCCTGTACTTACTGGAACCCCTTCTCTGGTGGGCCACACCAACACCCGTCCTCAATCCTTTGGGCAAATGCTGCCAAGTTCTGTATTTGCAGCCATCGCCCCTTTCCCCTCAGTTTGCCAGGTTAACATCACCTCTATCTTTCTATATATAGAAAGAATGCTTAGCATAGCCTTAAGAAAACCATGTGTAGCAAGCATCTGGAAGAGATAAAGGGCACTCACAGGACATCTTTGCTGGAGCTGGGTCTCCTTCCCTGGTAGGAACGCCTTGGGAGAGCAGCTGCTTTGGGCCTCCAGGGAGCTGGAGAAGCCAAGAAGCAAAGCAGTTGTGAAAACCAATGCAATTCCAGCACAGGTGTGCAGGGAAGTGGCCTGCAGGTGCCCAGCAGATCTGCTCCAGTCTCCCTCACCAGGCTTCTCTCCAAAGACGGATTTTGCTGGGAGGGACTTCTCCTTTGAGTTAAGGCATTGCAGGCCTCAGGAGATGCCTGAGAGAACGTGTAACTTCCAGAGACCAGTGGGCACTGGTGTCTCCAACAGAATCTATTAGTACAGACTTCCAGGGTGAAGACAGAGATGGGAAGATGCAACTGAATGTGGTGCTCAGGCCGCCGGGCTGAGCACAGGCGCTAAGCGGAGGCTTATTGACCTGGAGTCCCTCGGAGCTTCCAAGGTAGCCTGGGAGACCCATGGGGTGAAGGCCAGAGGGGAGGGAGCATCAGAGACAATCTGGACCCATTTTCACATTTTTATCAGCCCTACCTTACTCCTCCGGTTTTGAAGAAAAACCTAATTTGTACTTTTCTTTAAAAACCACTTATGTCTGGTCCACTCCCTGTTGTCAAATAGGCACATTTATCACACAGACGGAAGCCTGGTGTCTCTGAGAACTTGAACAGACTGTTTACAACACTGGGGCTGCAGGACAAGGTGACCTTCAGATCACAAAGGGGCAGTGCTTTGCGTGCAGCGGGGCCGGTCAGAGGATGTGAGGCATCCAGGCCAATGCCGCATCTAAGGCAACCTGGGAGTTTACAGGATGGAGAGATGTCAAGACAGGATTAGAAAAATGCATTTTAAACATTTAAAATTTAATGCTCTTAGAAGTAAGTCATACAGAGAAAGACAAATGTCCTATGATATCACCCATATGAAGAATCTGATAAAAAATGATATGAATGAACTTATAAAACAGACTCACAGATTCAAAAACAATTTTGTCACCAAAGGGGAAAGGTAGGGGGGAATAAATTGGGAACTTGGGGTTGACATATATACACTACTATATGTAAAATAGATAATGATATTCTATAATAACATGTGTGAAAAGAATGAATATATGTATGTGTGTGCATGTGTGCTAAGTCGCTTCAGTCACGTCTGACTCTTTATGACCCTGTGGACTATAGCCCACCAGACTCCTCTGTCCATGGAAGTTTCCAGGCAAGAGTACTGGAGTGGGTTGCCATGCCTTTCCTCCAAAGGATCTTCCACATCAAGGGATCAAACACACGTCTCTACATCTCCTGCATTGGCAGGTGGGTTTTTAATCACTAGTGTCACCTGAGAAGCCCTGAATATATATATATATATATGACAGTGAAAGAGAAAGTGTTAGTCTCTCAGTCATGTCTGATGCTTTGCAACCTCATGGATTGTAGCCCGCCAGGTTCCTCTGTCTATGGGCTTCTCCAGGCAAGAAGACTGGAGTGGTAGTCATTCCCTTCTCCAGGGGATCTTTCCAACTCAGGGATCGAACCTGGGTCTCCTTCATTGTAGGCAGATTCTTCACCATCTAAGCCACCAGGGAAGCCCAAATGTGTATAACTAAATCATTATGCTATACACCTAAAACTAACACAACACTGTAAATCAATTATGTGAAAGTGCAACTTGCTCAGTTGTGTCCGACTCTTTGCAACCCCATGGAATATACAGTCCATGGAATTCTCCAGGCCAGAATACTGGAGTGGGTAGCCTTTCCCTTCTCCAGGGGATCTTCTCAACCCAGGGATCGAACCCAGGTCTCTCACATTGAGGCAGATTCTTTACCAGCTGAGCCGCAAGGGAAACCTAAGAAAACTGGAGTGGGGAGCCTATCCCTTCTCCAGTGGATCTTCCTGACCCAGGAATTGAACCGGGGTCTCCTGCATTGCAGGCAGATTCTTTACCAACTGAGCTACTAGGGAAGCCCTGTAAATGAATTATACTCCAATAAAATGAAAAAATATTGCAATAAAGCCAAATGTTTTTAATATACACGCAACTCAAATATAAGAGAATTGCACTGTATACTAGAAATGACTTAAAAAATCTAAACATCTTTTTTGAACATGGAGCCCAAGCCAGATGTCTCAGCCCCAGCAGACAGACCCTGGAGCAAGTTGCCCCAAGAAAACAAGTGACAGGTACTGACGGGGCACTGCAGCAGGCATCTGAGCCCCAGGACAGGACAGGTCAAGTTCTAGGTGCACTTATAAACTCAAGGGACCTGGCACACCAGTAGGATGTCGAGTGCCCACTCTTGACCAGGCTTGACTC